TTTTTTTGAAAATTATTTTAAGTTTGTGAGAACTGTCGGAATCAATTTTAGATTACAGAAATCATTTTGTTAAAAAATATACAAGTTCACAACAATAAAAGGTAGAAATGACAAAATTACAAGAATTATTTGAAATTAAAAAAATTCTATTTGAATTACGACAATTTTTAAGTTGGAATTACAATCTGAAAACAATAGAATTACGATGTTTTATTGAAATTATTAGATTTTCGGTGAAATTTTTTTGAAATAGCTGGAATTTCAGTAATTTTTTTTGGAATTACTGGAATTTTGGTAGAATTTTTTAGAATTATAATAGATTTATTTAGTTAAACACATTTTTTTCGTAATGTTCAAAGTTATGTTGAAAGTATCCTAGTTCAAAACAATAAAAATGACAAATTTTTCAAGCCAAGGAAAAACAAATCACTGCTTTTATAAAGATACAAGAATAAGAACTTTTTATAAACTATTTTATTTTCCTATTTTTGGAATTCAATCGAAATTGTTTGGAATTATATTATTATTTGCAAGTATGTGTTTGGAATTATTAAATTACTTGTAAGTTACTAAAATTATTTATAAATTACTGGAATTCCATTTGGAATTATATCTTGGAAATATTTTTTTTGAAAATTATGTTAAGTTTGTAAGAACTATCGGAATTAATTGGTAAAAAAACACAAGTTCACAACAATAAAACATAGAAATGACAATTTTTTTATTCTTAAAGTTAAGATAAGAACTTTTACGATTCATATTTTTTTTGCATAAATTATGTACTTTTAAAAACAAAAAAATCATTTAACCAAAATCGCTCGGTTTCATATTTTGTCTGAAAATTTTGAATTGAACACTCATCGATAATTCTGAACTTAGTTGCACTTTATTGCTTTATTTACTAATTTTGCAAATGATATGGTAAAAAAACGTCAATTTTCCTGTCAAAATATTTAATTCGTCTACAGTCTGATTGTTACAATAATTGCTTTATTGGAATAAATAATTTATTAAATTAATTATGTACAAACGGTGCTTGAATCTAGTCAAGTATTCTCTCTTTTATATAGAGAATGTAGTCCATGGGCTGGGCCATTCTCCGGTTTTTCCCCATCGGTTTTCCCCACCTCTTCGACATGAAACCTCGTCCAAATTTCTGATTTTGCGCTTCGTCGAGACTCGCTGTGGCCGCACCAACGAGCAAATTATTCAAATCTTGCTCTTGATTCTCGATTTGGTTCTCATTGACCGGAATTTCCGGACTATAACCGGAAAACTCATTATTGAAATTAACCAAATTCTGGTTCTGGTACATGGAACCATAATCCTGACCTTCGTCTTGGTTCTGGGGGATTTCGTAGCCAGCAGGAGGACGGTACAATTTGGGGTTATGGTGGAAATTTGACACGGTCATGGTACCATCATGGTTCAAGTATGTGGCAACTCCCCCATTGACATTGACCAAATTCTGGTCCAAATGCTCACCAAAGGCCGCGTTGTAGTAATGTTGGACGTTCTGGGGGCCTTGGTAGTGGGGGTGGTTGTAGTAGTCTTGATTATGGGGGTGGTAATACCCCGTTTGAGGTGTTTGAGGTTCGTGGGGGTGGAAATACCCCTTTTGGGGCTCTTGGTAGTAGTTGGGGACCGAATCGACTTGTCCTTGCCACGAATGGGGGGCTTGAGTGGGGGGTTGATACGGGGGATCCACCGGTTTCCCATACACCAAACTGGGAACTGGAGTCGCTTTGAGTAATTTCGGGGGTTGTTTGTTCAAAACCGGAGCTGGGACTTCATGCAAAGCTTGAGGTTTTTGGTAGAAATCAGCCGGAATTTCGTTACTCAAAAGAGGAGGTGTTGTCGTCGTCGATTTTTTTGGACTTTCAGTTTGAATGTTTTGGTAACTCGTGGGGTAGTTTTGAGGGTGCAAATGTTTAAAACCCGCGAGATTTTGAGTTTGTGCCGTTTGTAACACAGTTTTGCTTTGAGTAAATCCAGGGAAGTTATTCTTCAATTTCTGACTCATGTATTTTGTTTTCAAATTGTGGAGTCTTTGAGGAGGGATTGGACTTCCTCCATATGTTTGTACATAATTGACACTTTGTTGCGGGAGATAATTCTTGCCAGCTTGGTAAAATTGAGGTTTTTTGTATTGGTAGTTTTGATTCATCAATTTGGTGAGGAAAGCGGTGTTCAATGAGGCGAGTCTTTGAGGGTCGGACTGCAAATGCAACTCATACATGGCGGGGACCCTCAAAACCTCAACAATTTTCGTTCCAGATGGTTTTGAGTCCTCAATTTCGTGTTTTTTCTGGCGGTAGCGTTTTTGGAAACGGTGGCTTTTGGCGATTTGGAAATTCTTCTCTTGGACTTCTTGGGTTTTCTCATGGACTTGGTACGAAGGGGTTGGGAGGGTTTCTGGGATGTTTTCACTAGATTGCGATATTATTGTCTCATTTTCTTTTTGAGGTTTCCTATACTGGGGGGAAGGGGTGACTATGGTGGTGTTTTCGGGTCGAACCCCATAACCGGCGCTAACATTGACTTGTAGGGAATTATCGGGATTACTAATTTCCTCAATTATTAAGTTTCCACCGCAGTTGGGAGTCACCACCAATAACAACATCTAGCAATTTGAGTGAGTTAAGTGTGTGCGTGTGTGGAATTCTTTACTTACAAGAAATCGTCTCATCTTGAACTGTGCACTTCACTAAAACTAGAGCATAAATAAGAGCGGTTCTCCAAAAGCGCACTTTATATAATAATGCTTCTAATTTGTTGTATTTCATTAAATTTTGTACTTTCTCAGGTCATCTCTGCCGTTTTCATGAGCTAAATGGGTTTTAGTTTTCAATTTCCCCAATTTACATACTTTCCCAAAGTGGTTTTGCTTTTAAAACTGGTAAATCTTGTCGCATAAGCGGGCAAAAATGTGGGAAAAAAAGTTTTAAATATTGTTCAGGGTTAGAAACAAGTTCAAAGCAATAAAAAATATTTTTTCAATTTTGAGGCAAGAGAAAAAAAACTAAATAATTTGATTTTTTTATTGTTTTTCAGTTCTGCAATTTTTTTTCAAATAGCAATCTACTAAATAGGCTATCTACGTCAACTAGCTACTTTTTGTTGAATTTTTGTGAAATTTTGTTTATTTAAAGTGTCACAACCCAAAAACAAAACAAATTTTTTTAATATATTTTTTTCTGAAAAATATCGTTTTTTAAACAACGAAAAACTCTTTTTCTATTTTGAGGACTTGTTATTTTTCTATATTTGGGCCTTTGCTTAAATTAATACTTTTAAAAAAAATACAATAACTGTTTTATATTAAAATTAAAAAA